CCGGCCCCTCAAGCCCGGGGAGGTGCTTAGTATCTTCCTCTACCTAGCCCCCAACTCCTCCACGGCCGCCAGCCCCAGCGTGGAGCATTTCACACTCAGGTAGGGAGGGAGGACCACATGGGTGCCAAGACCCCCAGAGGACCCGTCCTTCCTGGGTCTGAACAGTGAGCCTTTACAGGTCATTGACTACAGCTGCCCACCTCCTCCCCAGAGACAGTGCGTGGTAGCCCCTCCCATCCCCACCTCCAGGACTCACAGGCTGAGGCATCCACACCCCACCCAAGTGCCCCACTGGGCCACCTGCGGTCTCCAAGGCATGTCCGACCTTGGGTCTCTTAGCATCCTTGTGGGGCAGAGAGGGCTGATGTCACCAACTCAGCTTTGCCGTGGTCACCAAGGCCCTCTAATGCAATGGTTCTCAACCTTCCTAATGCCTCGGCCCTTTAATACAGCTCTTCATGTTGTGGTGACCCCCACCCCAACCATAACATTAGTTTCGCTGCTACTTTTTAATTGTAATTTTGCTATTGTTATGAATCAGGTGACCCCTGTGAAAGGGTCGTTCAACCCGCAAGGGGGTCGGAACCCACAGGTTGAGAACTGCTGCTCTAATGGGAAGCAGCTGGCATGAGTCTGGGCCCGAGAGAGGGCCCGCCCACCCAACCCTCTGCCTCTCTGCCTGCTCCCTGCTGATGCTTGCAGAACAGGGGGTGGCTGCTGGAAGCTGGGGCTGGGGCAGAGGGGTCCGGGATGGGCAACGTGGAGCTGGAAGCTGGGATAGAGAGATCCCAGGGAGGGGTCCTGAAACTGGGAGCTGGGGCTGGGGCAAAGAGAGGACCCACCCACCCAACCTTCTGCCTGTCTGCTGCTTCCTGCTGATGCTTACAAAATATTTGGTGGCTGGTGGAAGCCGGCAGTGGGGCTGGGACAGAGGGGCTGGGGAGGGGGATTGGGGTTGAGGCAGAGGGGTCTGGGGGAGGGAAGCTGAAGCTGGACCTGGGGCTGGGGCGGATGGGTCCCAGGGAGGTTCAGAACCCTGTGGCAGAGGCCCCGGGTGGCATGCTCAGGCGCAGGGTGAGTGTGGGCTTGGTCTAATGATACTTACACACACTTGCCTTGGGTTGCACGGTTTATCGAGTGTTTCCTCGTTCAAGCAGCAAGAAAACGTTCTGTGAGGCCAGCCTTCGCATTGGCCTGGGTTTACGGTGAGTGAGCTTGACTCGGGGAGTCAGATCCAGAACTGGATCTCAGCTGTCAGTCCCACCTCGCCTTCCCATTCCTTGAAAGTGGTAATAGGTTCTGAGGTGTGTGTGTCTGAAAGACAGGCAGACTGCTGGGGAGGGCAGAGGGGCCGCCCCCGGGCCACAGCAATGGGCATGAGGCCAGATCTGGGCAGGAGCCTGCTGAAGAGTCCACGGGTAGAGTGGCTAGATTTGGCCGCTCCGGCAGCTGAAAGGAGTGAACAGCCTAAGCAGGAGGGTGGGTGGGGAGAGGGAGCGGCCACGCTGCAGGTCCCTGGAGCTCTACACCATCCAGAGACAGCTGGGGCAGGGGCACAGGAGACCCAGATTCCAACCTGCCCCTGGCCCCTTCCTCCCACACATCAGGCCAAGTCCATGGAGATTGAAGAATGGACATTTTAGAATAGATGCCTT